ATTAATAGTTCTCTAAAATTAGATATGATGTAATACAGTATATATCTATTTTCAAATTATAATGAAATGTAATTAATAGTTCAAAATATTTTTTCTTTTATTTGTCACAAACTAATATAGATTTGTAACTTATCTATAAAATGTCAAAAATTTTTATCTACACAATGTAATGTAATATATATACATTAATAAAAATAGATTATTATCTAATTCACTTCATAATTTTTTTATATATATATATAGCATTCAGAAAATTAGTTTATACAAAATAACAAACAAGCCTGCCAAAAAATTGTTCAAATAATTTACCAAAGCATGTCTTTTAAAAAACGAGTTATGTCCCTTTGTCTAGAAATTATGGTTTAATATAGTACTCTCAACATTAGATATGGTCCAGAGTTATGGTCCATAACTCTGGACTAAATCATCAGACCGGAACAAAGTTGGAACTTGATCTATAACTTGTCATGGCAAAACTATTTACCAAATATCAAATCAATATCTTTAAGGACGAAGAAAAAAAGTGTGGAAAACTGATTTGACGGACTGACGGATGGATAAACGGACGGACAGACGGACAGAGTGCAAACCTAAAGTCCCCTTGACTTTGTCAGTAGGGGACTAATAACCAATAAACTGCTTCGTTGAGCGCAGCTGGATACGCCCGCAGAGGTCCAACCCTGAACAGTTGAGGCAAAAATGGACACAATATTCAAGCTTGATACAGGTCTGAATTTGGATTGTATAAAATATTTGACATATTATAGGTTTCTGAATAAATGTAGTCAAAGAACTTGAAATTGGTTATATAAATTGAATTTATATTCAATTAAAGATTTCTTGCTGTTGTGCAATACACTGTGCTGTTGCACAATACAGTAAATCTGTTGTCAGACTATAATCAAATAAAGTTCAATTAATTCTCAGTCATATTAGAAATTTATGAAAATGTAAAGGGAGCTTACATCAATAAATATAAACAATTCACCAAAGTTTCATAAGAATTGCTGACAGCATTTTTGAGTTATTGTCCGAAAACTTGAAAATCCCCCCTTTTTTAATGAATAAAACCCCATAACTCAGAAATGTAAAATGAAAAATTTATAAAATTCTAAAAGGAGCTTACATCAATAGATATAAACAATTCACCAAAGTTTCATACTAACTGCTGAAAGCATTTTTGATTTTTTGTCCGAAAACTGGAGAATCCCCCTTTTTTTATGAATAAAAACCCTGTAACTGGAGAATCACCCTTTTTTATGAATAAAAACCCTATAACTCAGAAACGTAAAATCTAAAATATATAAAAATCGAAAGGGAGCTCATGTCAATAGATATAAGCAATTCACCACAATTTCTTGCAAGTTGGTGAAACAATTCTTGAGTTATTATCCGAAAACTGGAAAATCCCCCTTTTTTTAATGAATAAAACCCCATAACTTGGAAACGTAAAATCTAAAATTTATAAAAAAACAAAAGGGAGCTCATGTCAATAGATAAAAACAAATTCACCAAAGTTTTATGCAAATTGGTTAGAGCGTTTTTGAGTAAATGTCACGGACAGACGGACGGACAATGGTATACCATAAAGGCATAATACGTCCCGTAAACAGGCGTATAAAAACTGCAAAATTACCTGAAAATTATCAATTTAGTGGCAGCAACCCAAAAAAAGATTAGCTCTAAATGCTTTGGTTTTTGAGATATAAGCAAAAAACTGCATTTTACCCCTATGTTCTATTTTTAGCCATGGCGGCCATGTTATTTGAAGAAACAGTAAATAAAACACAAACTTTATTCTAGATAACCTAAGCATCATTCAGCTTAAGTTTGGTTGGAATTGGTTTAGTAGTTTCAGAGGAGAAGATGTTTGAAATAGTTTACACCAGAAGGACGACGATGGACGCCAAGTGATGGCAAAAGCTCACAGTTCGAAGGAACGGTGAGCTAAAAACACATATGTAATTAAAAAGAAATTATGCAATGAAATTTATGTCGAATTTTTCAGTTCAAGCCATGATATAGTTTTTGACATGAAATGTCCCTTCATTTGAACTTAAAAAGTTGTAGAATTTAACATATATATATATAACAAGACCAATGGTTCTGTAAAAGAAGACATTTGTATGTATTGTCCATAGAATTCTATGTTAAATTAAGTCCCCCGCTGAAGGCCATCTTGGATGGTGGATGGCCAACAAAGTTACAACACTTGGTCAGCACCTGATAAGGAACATTCATGCCATGTTTCATTTCATTCCATTTAGTGGTTCTCTAAAAGAAGATATTGTATGTATTTCCCATAGGGCCCTATGTTAAACGAAGTACATGTTTTTGTCACAATAATTATTTTTAATTTGTTTATATGACATAATTTATGCCAATATGAAGGATTAATTATTTAATACGTTATTTCAAAATAGGTACCATGTAAATAAATTCAATAATAGATTTCATAAAATATTTTAAACTTAGCCAAATAATCCCATATAGTACCTCTATTTCACAGTGGTGAAGAATGTGTGTATTAAATTTACAAGTTTACCAAATAACCACATTCTGTTTGTGACCTAATTGCAGCTGCCAAGCCTTGAAAAACAAATTTAAAACAAAGTGGTAGTACAGGTTATTTTAGTGCAATCCTCATGAGTCATATTATGTGCAACTTAAGCTCTTTCAATATTTTTGGCAGACTATATTTTAAGTTATAACTGTACTTATTAGATATTTTTGATAAATATCTTAAATTTTATAATTGATATATTCAAGAAGTGATAATACTGAAATACTAGTTATAAACTATAATTAATGAAATAAACATTGATTAAACAATTTAATGTAAAATATTTACTTGTGAAATAAATAAAGATATATAATCAAACTCATCAGATTTACTTAAAAGAGTATTATTCTCTTTCAAAGTCATTTCCTGTTCAAGGAATATATTTACTCATGGTACTCATATGTAAAGTTATTAGGTACAACAATAATATTACCAAACCCAACGATGAATCTAGGGCCTGTAAGAATCCTAATAAAAACATATAATAAAATGCTTCGCTGTCGCTGAGTACAGCCTAATACGACCGCAGTGTTCAAACCCTGAACAGTTGGAGCAAATTTGGACACAATATTCAAGCTTGATACTATCTGAATTTGGATTGTGATCAATATTTTGACATAATATAGGTTTCTGGCACAAAATATATGTGGTCAAAGATCTTACAAATCTAATGTGCAATACTGTGCAATTAAAGATTTCTTCTTGAAACTTTTAAAAATTTTGAAATTTTGAAAACTTTGAAAAAAATTGGAAACCCCCCCTTCCCCCCAAACATTTTGAATCCCCCTTTTAGCATTAACCACCAAACTCAATTGCAGTCTTTCCTTTGTAGTATGGAACCTTGTAGTACAATTTTAGAGAGATCCATACCCTTAATCACAAGTTACTGTCTGGAACTAGAAAAATGCTTTTTTTTACCATAAAAGCCCATTTAGATACATGTACATCATAAAAGTATTAAAATAGAAAATGACATCATAGTCATGGCTAAAATTAAAAAAACCTTCTTCAGCAACTTTTAATAGTAATATCTAAAAATAAAATTCCTTCATCAGCATTTAAAAGTAACTTCTAAAAATAAATTGACAGCTAGGACTTTGCAACCATAAAAACCCTTTAAAATACATCATAAAAGTATTAGAATAGAAAATGACATCATAATCATGAGTTAATCTATTGTCTGGAAACTAGAAAAATGCTGGTTTTATGCCCCTTTATGGTCTGTTAAAATGAAAGTATATCAAACCAAGATGTTCATCCACCTTAAATATGTTTCTTTCATTTAATATATATGTGATGGCTGTTTTATTTGGTTTATACACTGATGAGCAAATGTTCGTTTAATTTGTGTCTGGTTTGTTTCAACCGTTCTGCCAGATTTGTATTTTTTCTCAACTTATATAAAATGGTGTCATTAGCGGGACAGTAACAACTGTGAATTCATTTATTTTCATGGGTACCAATTTTCGTGGATTTCGGAAAACTTGCCTTTTCGTGGATATGTGATTTCGTGGTTTCTGCAGACATCCTGATCATGCTGATAGAAAATTTGTAATTCAATGAATATTCAAATTCGTGGTTCAACTGTATCCACGAAAACCATGAAAATTGGTGCATGTTTTCCAACAAATTTTAATGAATCCACAGTAATTACCTTTCTAGAGCACATTAAGGAGAGGGATTTGTATAAGTGACTTATCACTTGTTTTCCAATCCATGTATAATAATTGTATTGATGTACGTATTTATTTATTTCTAAATAAAATATTGTTCTTACTAGAGCACTTTCAATCACCCTTTGGGTTATTTGGGGTAGGTATGGCTAACTTTTTAGATTTTTATGCAGTAATTGTGAACACAGGATCCTGTAAGACAGTTTAACAAGTCCTATCACCTGTTCGTATAGTTTATAAGATATCTTATATAATTTTCTTTATTAGATATCTTATAAATTATATGAAATATCTTATAAACTAATAGAGATATCTTATATAATATCTAAGATATCTTATATAATATATAAGATATCTTTTATAATATATAAGATATCTAATAAACATTAAATTATATAAGATATCTTATATATTAAATGAGATATCTTATACAATACATAAGAAATCTTATTAATTATATATATGAGATATCTTGAAATTTGAATATTAAAATAGTAAAACGGCTAGCCATAGACCTACTTTAAAAAAAATAGTTCCGAGTTGGATTAAGATACATCTTAAAACATTGACTAGAACGACCAGGTTAAGGATATGACCATATGGCGTGGCTTTAATGACTGAGCCAAGTTCAGGGGATAAAAAAAGGGGGAGGGTAATTAATTTGATTCCAAATGGCTTCCAATGTACTGTATAAACAAGCAATAATATTTCTATTGAATTTATTTCTTCAAAACGTCTTGAACAAATTGATTCTTTGTGGATTTTTTTTATTACTTTTAGGGGATTTAATGATTTTAAAATGGAACTGCCAACTTTGATAGTAAACAGATTGCATGCAGATTCCAGTTACCTTTACTCAGCAATACTAGTTGGAAGTACAGAGACAGCAAATTTAATTACAGAAAGGAGAAGAACTTAACATGTATCCTTTATATCTGATTTTTATTAAGCCTAAATTAATATATTGTTTGTTTCCCCAATCCCGACACCGCCAAGCCAGGTGTGGGTAGGTAGGTAGGGAAATAATTTTATTTTTTCCAAAAAGCTGGAACAATATCGGTCGATCTGGCAAGCCAGAAAATTAGAACTGAATAAAATAATATTTGACTTAGTTTTGACAATAAAATTTTATGAGTCGGACCCGTTTTTGCAGGGTCGGTAGGGATTGGCGAAACAGACAATATTTTATTTTAGGCCTTATAATATTTGAAATTGAACAGCGAGCATCGTTAAGCCATGGTGAACAATGTATTTCACAAAGGGAAAGCTGGAATTGAGTTTGGGGGTAATTGCCCAAAACAATTATTGAATTAAGACAATGAAATGCTTAAGGGTATTAGTAAACATGAGGAGGAGGGGGTGGGGGTGGGAACCATTTTGATTGGTAATAAATTTAACAATCTAAGCAGCCATTAAAAATGGCCAACAAATTTGCTAGTAGTAAGTACTAGTATCTAATTTTGATGGGAGTTTAAGGATCTGACATTAAAATAAATACAAGTCAATTTTTTTTAATGGGAACTTGACAGCCATTTAAATAAGCTATTAAACACAGTGATAGGGAAGGACGTCCGCCTTGCGCCAATTGCCCTTTTCGACCAGAAATGGCGCATAGAGTGACAAATGTAAGCGCCCATGTGGTGCACGATATTTTCTACTCCGTTTTGAAACATTTGATATCGTAAAATGGATTTCCGATTGTGTTTCGTGTCGCCATGTGTATGTACAAAACTGGGTAGTGTTACCGCACCGCCTATATATATTTTTGGGACGTCTCGGGTGTGAACATATTTTGGATTATATCTTTTGATAAGTACAATGTAATAGAATTTCCACAATTTTGAATATATGTGCATGCTCTTTTAGTTCAAAGTAGTGACATTTAAAGTGTTTTATTAACTTTTAAGAGTCAACAAAAAAAGAAGGTCATAGATTTATAAAAAGTATTAATAAGAAGATGTGGTATGCTTGCCAATGAGACAACTCTCCACAAGAGACCAAATGACACAAAAATATGCATATACATATCATAAAATTGTGTAGGACATGAGTCATATTTTGTATCATTTTAAAACATTATTTGTTTTATAAAATAGTACTTCTGAAAAAGTAATTTTGCTATAAAATTAGAGATCTGTGGTGTGACTGACAATATGACATTTATATATCCACAAATGGTAAAATAATATATCTTTATATATACATGTATAGTATATACCATACCCACCAAAAGTATGATATAAAACATGGGCAAGACCCATTATGTTATAGTACAATGATTATGAAAAACAAATATTAAACAAAAAAGAAAGGACAACCTCTTTATTTCTAGGGACAGTCACTTATTATAATGATGATAATTTAGTACTGACATGAGGTTTAATGTATTGTACAGTTATATATCAGCTGCTGAACCAGGGTGGTGGTGGTGGCAATTAAGTCAACATTAGGAGTAAGACTTATAAAACTTCTATGCAATAAGTTATGTAGCTCTAAAGCTCAGAAAGGGGGAGCCCCCTTTCCTAAATCCACCTCTGAATATTAAATTTCTAGAAGGATTTGACACTCTTAGAAATTGACCCTGCAAGTGACACATTAATACAAATCTTTTCAAAAAGTGTTATTTTCATTTGATAATTTCAGAATTGACAACAAATGTAACTAACTAACTTTATATCTGTACAATGTTAACTTATTCTTTTATATGCTAGATTCTTTTACTTTTATTTTTGCAGAATTTGCCATCAACAATTTCAACTTTAAGGACAGAGAGTTCAATGGGACACTGAACGAAAAGATACACACATATAACAGGACTACCTATTATAGATGACAGAGAACAAATATTATTTTATTAAATCACAGAAAATGCCATAAATGGAAAGATTTTCTAAAGACATTCTCCTTACTCATCCATCCAATTCCATCTGATGGTCAATTCTCCATCAAGTTTCCATGCATTTTACATGTAATGGAAATATTCCATTGGTTTTCCATCTGATAGCAAAATTACCATCAGTTTTCCATCAGATGGCAAAAATACCATCAATTATCCATCAAATGGCAAAATCAGTTACCCATCAGATGGAAATTATGCCATCAATTTTCCATCATCATGAACACAAATTCCATCAAACCTTTTCCATCAACCATTTTCCAGCATTGATGGAAAGTTGTTCCAATAATCCATCAACATGATGGAATGTGATGGCATTTTTTCCATCACAAAATTCCATCATCTTTGATGGAAAATCTAGGGAAGGGTAATAAAATAAATGTCTTTTTGGCATAAGAACAATTAGATAAAAAACAAAGAAAGTGGCAAGCTACATATAGTCAAAACGAATATGTGTGTCATTTATCAACAGAAATGGAAAAAAAATACTCTTTAAAAACTAAAATAATACTTAAATGTTTTTGTTTCATTTTATTTACATAAAATTATGTGGTCATTAGTTGTCTTTTATTAGAACTTTTGGTTTCCAATGCTTTTCAACTATATGATTGATTTGGCCTCTGATCAGTCATATGGAGACGAAATCCATGTTTATCCTACTAAAAATGTTCTAGTTTACACACTTATACTCGCCCTGGACACATGAACTTGTGTGTACGCGGAACGCTTCCTGATAACACTAGCCGAGTCTTGTTATCATCAATATTATCCTTCAGCTATCAACATGATCAAAAAGAAGCTGAAAACATGCTATGCTTCTATTCAATATTTTTACCAGAAATTTACTTTCGTTATAATTCATTCATTGTCATAAGGGGGAGGGGGGCTAGGGTGAAAAATTTTGTCCTGAATTTTTTTTTAGTTCAGTTGTAATCTCTGTCCTGCCTTTTTATTTTTCACTTTATTCGGTCCTGGATTTTTTTTTTAGTTTATCCTGACTTTATTTTGCATAAATTGTCATCCTGCCTTTTTTTTTTGCAAAGTGTCTCTTCCTGCCTTTTTTTTACTCAAAACTCCTGTCCTGCCTATTTTTTTCAAATTCATCCTAGACTCCCCCCCCTTATAAAAATCAAACAGTAGCTCCCTAAATCTCGTGCAATACGAAAATAATTGATTACCTGACTTACGCTACTTGGATAAAAGCAGAGAAGATCGAAACCGGTTTACATCTTTGAGCAACGGACAATTCCAACAGGCACCCAGATCAATTATTTGACGCGAATGCTCTATTTTTGGAACACAAGCAGATTTCCAATTTAAATTATAAATACTACAAAAATAGATTTACTCGACGATAATGGATAGACAAGGGTTAATAACGCACATAAAAATGACTAGAAGGGTTGAGAACGCATAGTTTTGACATGTAATTAGGTTTTCCTTTGCATGAATTGGGTTTTTGTATCCTCTAATCATCAGTTGCATTGGGTTTTCAATTGTTTTTATTGCATGATCACGAAAATATGCAGCTTATCTGGAGCTCTGCTTGTATTACAATTTCATGAAGATCCATACACTTACCATGCTTACACACAAGTTATTGTCTGGAAACTAGAAAAATGTGTTTTTTGGCCCCAAATTCCTAAAATATTTAGGCAATTACACCCATCATCAATCCCAGCCTTCCCTTTGTGGTATGGTACCTTGCAGTACAATTTCAGAGAGATCCATACACTTACACACAAGTTATTGTCCTGAAACTAGAAAAATGCTTGTTTTTTGCCCCTTTTTTGCCCCTTTTTTTATAAAATTTTGAGGCTATTACCCCCAAAATCAATCCAAGCCTTCCCTTGGTGGTATGGTACCTTGCAGTACAATTTCAGAGAGATCCATACACTTGAACACAAGTTATTCATGTTATTGTCTGGAAACTAGAAAAATGCTTGTTTTTTGGCCCCTAATTCCTAAAATTTTGAGGCAATTACCCCAAAAATCAATCCTATCATTCCTTTTGTGATATGGAACCTTGTGGTACAATGTCAGAGAGATACACTAACACACACATTTTTGTCTGGAAGTTACAAAAATGCTTATTTTTGGCCCCTAATTCCTTAACTGTTGGTACTGGGGGAGCATAACCCCTAAAATCAATCCCAACCTTCCTTTTGTGGTATTGAACATTATGGTAAAATATCATAGAGATCCATTCCCTTAAACTAAAGTTATTGTGCGAAAACCAATGTGTCTTTAGACGACGCAAACGTCATAGATCGTATAAAAATGAATTTCAACAAAGATATAAAGAAATATATGACAATAAGATATTAGGGCGGGTGTCAATCAAATGTCGTGAAATGAAGATTTTTGATGATCCAGGAATATTTTTTAGGTCAACAGAACCATCCTGATAAAATCTTATGTGCTTTCAAGTTTCTTGTTTATCATGTTGATATCTTATTACTGTTTGGAAGATATGCTCCAAAAACATGTCCTAACTGTCAGAAATGTGACCATTTAAGTGTTACATTATAAAATTGTTTAAAAACAATAATAAATGAATTCTAAAAAGATATTTTTTATTTAATTAAACAACCAAATATCTTTGATATCATGGATTATTTTACATGATAAGATGTAAATTAATTCTAAATATATATATATATAATATATGCTAGCTTTATAGCTAGGTATGGAATACGTAAATTCTAAAACTTCAAATTCTTAATTCCAGGTTAATGGTGTTTTTTTAAAAAGAGCAAAAAATGGTTTTTTATATATAAAATTGAGAATGGAAGTGGGGAATATGTCAAAGAGACAACCCGACCAAATAGCAGATATTGGCCAAAGGCCACCAATGGGTCTTCAATGCAGCTAGAAAATCTCAAGATCTCAAACCCCCCCCCCCTCCCTTTACCTCTAGCCAATGTAAAAAAAAACAAACACACAGCAATATGCACAGTAAAACTCAGTTTAAAAGAAGTCTGAGTCATATACTCACGGTCTCAATAGGGCAACATTTACAACCAAAATATATTTATAACATACATACATGTAACAATGCATAAACTTAATAAGTTGAGGCACTCAAATATGTCAGGAGTACCCCTCTATAAATTGTCATTAGAAGAAACCTAAATTCAATGTCTTTTCAATAAGTTCTGATGCCATAGAGAAGAAAACATAAATGAGTGGGATGTGAAATAAATTTGAACAGAAATTTTAAGTAATAAATGTTCAAAAGAGTGTGACTTTGTTTTAAAGACACTTTTTAAGATTATATAATATCAAAGTACATGGTTCATTAGTTATCTTTTGTATATAACATAAATTCATATAAATTGTATAACTATAAAATGTCTTTATTAGAATGGGAGGAAATTTACTGATACAAAGTTTAAAACACAGCTTACACCAGAGTATGTAACTTGGTTAATTGTTATCGTTGCTTAGATATAGAAGTGCTCCATTTACCATATCTTTATTTTCATGTTAAATTCTGCATATATTTAAAATTTTTCATTAAAATAGCAATTTAAAGCATGTGCAATTGTCACACTCCACATGCATCCATAAAGCTTTGTAGGTCAAAGTGTATGTTGACCCTGGATATTGACCCTTAATAAGCTTTCAGATGATACCATGCAAAAGAAAACCATCCTGATATATATGTATTTTCTTACTTCTTTCAAGTTAACCAAAATTATTTTCAATATTCTTTATTCACATTTGCAGGCTATTTTCACATTTAATCAATGGCTATTATTTATTTGTAATGCTTTTAACCAATCAGAAGACAGTAAATACACCAAATTTATTTATTATATGATAAAATTGAGAATGGAAATTGGGAATGTGTCAAAGAGACAACAACCGGACCAGGAGGGCAGAAAACAGCCCAAGGCTGGATCCCACCTCTGGGTGAGAGATTTTCTTGCCATGTTGAAAACCCATTGGTTGCCTTGGGCTGTTTTCTGCTCTTTTGTATCTTATCATCCTATCTAATTTTTTTGCTTAAATTTTTCATCAATGATTATTTTTGCTTTTTGCCTCTGGCCTTTGTTAGTCTTGTATCATTTTAATTTTAGTTTCTTGTGTATAATTTGGAGTTTAGTATGACGTCCATTATCACTGAACTAGTATACATATTTGTTTAGGGGCCAGCTGAAGGACGCCTACGGGTGCGGGAGTTTCTTGCTGCATTGAAGACCCATCAGTCAGGGGACTTACTTAAATGAGTGATTTTCTAAATCACTGATTCAAGTAACATTATGTCCATAAAGGTTGGAAGTAAGAGTTGTCTTTCTTTAATAATCACCTATTTAAGTAGTACAAATTAATCACTAGACTAAGTGATTTAATTTTATTGTAGCTTTAAATATAGAATACTAATGATCTAGGGACTAATTATGTTGCTAAAATTATCAGAACCAACATCTGTGTTGATAGGATGACCAGGTCATGTCAGGTGATGACCTTGTACTAAATCTAGGATAATGACATAAAAATCACTTGTTTAAGTATCATACCTCAATTTCCTTCCAAAAAATCACTTCTTTAAGTATCATTATTTTAATAACCCCCACTAATTTCAACACCCCCAAACAGTGAAATTTTGATCACAAACAGTAGAATTTTATTACATAATCTATAAGATGAAACCTTGAATTTTACAGGAAAAATAATCACACTGCTGGGAAAAATCTGTTGAGAAAGTATCAGTTCATTATGTAAAGCCATTTTTATAGCATTTTTTCAACTAAAACAGAATTTGCAGCTAAATGATTGCATCAAAGGCATAAACCTTGCTGCTTAAAAGAAGCAAAAAGTTCATTTTTTTTAATTTTACTAATGAAAAGATATTATCTAAACCTATGTGTTTAAAATTTTGGTAAAACTACAAAATCACAATTTGTGACAAAACTTTGAATTTGCTACTTAAATAAGTGATTTAAAAATCACTTATTTCAATAAGTCCCCTGACTGCCCATTGGTGGCCTTCGGCTGTTGTCTGCTCTATGGTCGGGTTGTTGTCTCTTTGACACATTCCCCATTTCCATTCTCAATTTTATTAATGATAAAAATGTCATTTAAATGTTCTTTGAGTCTCATATTTTCTTCAAAAGCAAATAAATGCATTTTACCCCTATGTTCCATTTTAGCCATAGTGGCTATGTTTCTTGATGTACAAGGAAATAAAATATAAAATTTATACTAGATACTCTGAAACTTATTCAGCCCAAGATTGGCTGAAATTGATTCAGCAGTTTCAAAGGAGAAGATTTTTTAAAGTAAGCAAACTACATGAACAAATTGTGAGAATTGTCTTTCAGGGATAATAACTCCTACCTGATGCCTACAGGGGTCAATAGTCAATTTTGGTCATATTAACTTATTTGTAGATCTTACTTTGCTGAACATTTTTGCTGTTTACAGTTTATCTTTATCTATAATAATATTCAAGATAATAACCGAAAACTGCAAAATTTCCTTTAAATCATAAATTCAGGATAATAACCTAATAAAATGTTAAGTAGAGTACAGAAACTAATAAAATGCTCC